TACCCAAAATTTAACTTGGAGTAGCTTGTCCATCTGACACTAGTGATTAAAAATCATCATCCAATGTATATGTGTGTGTGTGTGTGTACAGTATACTCTGAATCTCATTTGGTGCACAAGAACTTTGAATAATAAAGCCATTGAGTTGAAGGTCAATATTTTCTGTATTTCCGTATCATTTATCGCCAACTGCCAGTGGCAGACTGGTGTCCCTGAAAAGGTTTGGGATTTTCAGGTAAAATGGGGACGCAGATTCACAGGGTTGTCGAGGGTGGGATCTGGGTAGTATTTGGCAATTGTAGTTGTCAGTCATTAGGGAGGGCAGATTCAGGCAGTAAGTATTGCCCAACACAAAATACTGCAGATGCTGGAAATCCAAAACAAAAACAGTAGTCGCTGGGGACACTCAGCAGGTCAGGCGGCATCTATGGAGAGAGGAAAGCGAGTCAAGGTCGTGTACCTGAAACCTTGACTCACTTGCGTCTCTCCATAGATGTTGCCTGACCTGCTGAGTGTCCCCAGCAACTTCTGTTTTTGTTAGTGATTATTGCCCATTGGCTATTGTCCTGGCCAGCAAATCCCCCAAATATAATTGGTGACTTACTCCATAACTGTTTGTGGGACGCTGCTGTGTGCAAATTGGTTGCCGCGTTTCACCCTCAAAATACAGTCAATCAACTTTACAGCATATCCCGTGAAGCGCTTTGAGACGTGATAATTCAAGGATTATAATTATAACTCTAAATTATCATAAATATATAATATGATTATGTCATTAACTATAAATTATTACAAATGATTATAAGTATTAATTATTATACCTGATCATGGGGAGACATTTAGTACACATAAGTTGCTGTAGTTTTCTAAGGAACTACAGTGGCTGTCAGAGGCTTCCTTTTAATATGATTGGAATTTAGTGTTCACAAAAGAGCTTGAAAGTCAGCTATGTTATTTCTCTCGTGTTTATTACTTTCCAGATTTTGTGCAGTTAAAGGATAATGAATTTCAACTGCAAGAGGAGCAGATTGGTTCGGAATTCCACGTCGAAATTAAACCTGCTTGATTTAAACTGGCACTTTGTAAAATAGCTGATTGAGATTAATAATAGCTTTCGAATGATTGTTACACTCAATTGCAGCCTTTGAAGCAGGGAGCAGTGTATCAAAAGATTTGCCTTTCAGAAAATAAATTAGTGGTAATAATGAGCCATTGAAAGAGAATAACTAGTTACATTTACTCTGCTTTGATACACAGATGTGATTTATAACATGGGGAGGCAGCCTGGAATTGAGATTATCCTTCTATCGTCTCATTATTTTAATTTCACCTCTTCTTATAATTAATCATTTGCAGCAGCGCAGTCTAAAGTTAAATGAGAAAAAAAAACTGCACTGCCCCGTTTGTGCTCATTAAGGCTGATATCATTGATGTTGACAGGGAAAATCGAAGATTCTATTCATTTTTTTTGTACAAACTTGGTATAATAGACTGCCGTATTGGACCAGCATAACATTTTCTTTGAGCGAGATTATCATTTTTAACAGAATACCCATTAGGGTTGGGTCAGAATGGCCCATTATTTGGGACCCTTACTATCATAGACAGAAGATTAAACTTAGGTCTGTGGGGCAGTGGTCTTCCAATATACTGTGCCATGCATGTCCCCAATCACAGTTACTTTAAAGATATTTCATTATTCAGTACAAAAAAACAAATAAACAAAGCCAAATGTTTCATTCTCTCAGCTCCATCTGCTGGCCACTACTTTTGTGTTGTTAAAAAAACAATCATTTTGCAAAGACCAACAACTTACACTTGAGCGTCTCAAGTAAAATGTCTGATTAATCAATTTCCACTGGGTACGATCCCTTTAGTTTCATTATTGAAAAGCTCCTCAAAGGATTTCCTAGAACTGAAGTTATCAAAAGAACTATCATTGGTTGTGAATCTGAACAATATCAAATAAGGAGATTAAGGCACAATGAATAAGCATGCAGTCCTTTCACTTTGGACTACAACAGAGATTGACAGGATTAAAGTCTTTACTGTTCTGTTAAGGTCCTATCTGAAATGAGTTTCTACTATCCTTGTGGATCCCATTGTGCAAGTTGCTCAAAAACTAGAATTAAATAGCCGTTATTTCTTCAAGAAAACATTTTTGGAAAATATAAATTTACAAACGGTAACTTGGAGATTATTAGCAGTGCAACCTCTAAGATTTGAACAGTTGCACAGTTTATTCTCTTACTTTACACACAATCGTGTAAAGGTTTTTCAATGAATCCACATGTTATTCACTAGTTACTCGATATGCTGTTATCATAGTTTTTGTCAAACACCACCACCCAGTGGCAATTTGGGAAACTATTATTTTGAAACTTCAGGAAACAAAAAGAGCACAAACACCTGACTAAGTGTACACGTGCTTCAATCCAATCTGTTTGTCATAGACATCAAAATAGTTACTGTATGTTTTTACATCTACAAGATTAAATTTCACTTATTTCACAGTGCACATTTTGTAAACGACACTAAGCAAAACAGTGAAACAGTAAGCAAAACAGCTGTGACGGTAAGCAGAGTAGTTCTTTAAACTCAAAGCAAAAGAGTTTGTGAAGTGCAAAGGGAACTGAAATGAGCTGATATCAGATTCCCAATTTGCTGCACAGCCATCAAGCTTTTTTCTGAACAACAATTCTTGCATTTGATATAGCGCCTTATCACATTGTTGAGACATCTCAAAGTGCTTCACTGAATATACTGATTGACTGTATATTTTATGGACGAAACGCAGCAGCCAATTGTGCACAGCAATGTCCCACAAACAGTCGTGGAGTGAGCGACCAAATTATTATTCGAATTTGGTCAATTGTGAAATTGTGCGTCCCAGAAAATGTCCGAGCGGTGATATTGTTCACAATTTTTCAGGATGGAATCGAGTACACACAGGACATGAAACTGTTTACTTTTAAAGTATTTGTATACTGTCATTAAAAATAGGATGATAGAAGATAGTTATCCATTTTGATGCAACTTTTTTTTTAATCGGAAGTCCCCCTTTCTCCCATCCTTTTTCCACCACTCTCCCCCTCCCCGTCTCTCTTTACCCCTATTTGCTATTTCCTTCTCTCGCTTTCCCTCTCCTCTCTTTCCAAGTGCAGGGATCGTTGTGAGTCTGTGAGGAGCTTCCTTGGAGCTGAACTGGCTGGCAATGGAATGTCGGAATCCAGACAGCCCTCGGTGGTGGTCCAGGTCGTCCGGGTCCCGAGCCGGGCAGGTCCGCAGTATTCCAGGGCACTCACTGCTGATGACAGCACCAGGACCTGGAAGGGCCGACTAGTCACTGGGGGCAGGGAGTCAACCCCCTGAGCTCCTGTTAGCCCAGCAGCCAAAGCCCTGACGGGGAGGGCGGTCCGAGCTGGACAAGCGGCGGGAAAGCCGGCCAGAACAACGCTCTCAATAATAATAATAATGATAATGATAATAATCCTTGCAATTTGATGGCAAGCTGTGCAGGTTTAGCTGGTTGGACCCCAGCAGTTACCCCCAACCCACACTCTGGTTGGGGTGGAGGGGGGGGTTGGGGTGGGTGGGGTGGGGTGGGGGGGGGGTTGGGGTGGAGTGGGGTTGGAGGGGGGGGTTGGGGTGGAGTGGGGTTGGGGTGGAGGGGGGGTTGGGGTGGGGGGTTGGGGGGTTGGGGTGGGGGGTTGGGGTGGGGGGGGTGGGGGGTTGGGGTGGAGTGGGGTTGGGTTGGGGTGGGGGGGTTGGGGTGGAGGGGGGTTGGGATTGGGGGGGTTGGGGTGGACTGGGGTTGGGGTTGGAGGGAGGGTTGGGGTGGTTGGGGTGGAGTGGGGTTGGGGTGGGGGGGTTGGGGTGGAGTGGGGTTGGGGTGGGGGGGGTTGGGGTGGAGGGAGGGTTGGGGTGGAGGGGGGTTGGGGTGGGGGGGTTGGGGTGGAGGGGGGTTGGGGTGGGGGGGGGTTGGGGTGGAGTGGGGTTGGGGTGGGGGGGTTGGGGTGGAGGGAGGGTTGGGGTGGAGGGGGGTTGGGGTGGGGGGTGGGGTTGTGGGGGGGTTGGGGTGGGGGGGTTGGGGTGGAGTGGGGTTGGGGTGGAGGGAGGTTGGGGTGGAGGGAGGGTTGGGGTGGAGGGGGGTTGGGGTGGGGTGGGGGTTGGGGTGGAGTGGGGTTGGGGTGGGGGGGTTGGGGTGGAGTGGGGTGGGGTGGGGGGGTTGGGGTGGAGGGGGTTGGGGTGGAGTGGGGTTGGGGTGGAGGGAGGGTTGGGGTGGAGTGGGGTTGGGGTGGGGGGGGGTTGGTTTGGAGACTCTTGAGCAAAAGTCACGTGTCAGACCCCCCCGGCTGACCAGGAACATATTGTGACCGAGCGGGGGAGTGAGCGCCTGCGCAGTGCGGGACTCGGGGGGGGGAGAGGGGTGAGTGAGCGCCTGCGCAGTGCAGTGCAGGGCTCGGTGTGGGTGAGCGAGCGCCTGCGCAGTGCGGGGCTCGGGGGTGGGGGGTGGTGGGTGAGCGAGCGCCTGCGCAGTGCGGGGCTCGGGGGGTGGGGTGGGTGAGCGCCTGCGCAGTGCGGGGCTCGGGGGTGGGGTGGGTGAGCGAGCGCCTGCGCAGTGCGGGGCTCGGGGTGGGTGAGCGCCTGCGCAGTGCGGGGCTCGGGGGGTGGGGGGGGGTGGGTGAGTGAGCGCCTGCGCAGTGCGGGGCTCGGGGGTGGGTGAGTGAGCGCCTGCGCAGTTTGTTGTGTGGGCGGTGAGGCGATTGGCGGTGGAGGAGGAGGAGCCGCCCCGGGGAGGGAGGGAGGGAGGGAGGTCGGTCCCGCGACGACACAGCTCCGCAGCGGTTAGAAGCCGTGCCCGGTCACGCTCTCTTCACGTTACTTCGACGGACGAAGGAAGGAAGGAAGGAGGGAGGAGGAGGAGGAGGAGGATAAAGCCAGCGGAACAGCGGCGGGTAAATAAAGGCCTCTGACCATCACTGCCAGCGATAGAGGCCGTGAGGGAGGCGGCGGCGGCGGCGGGGGCCTTGCCAGGCGAGGCGGCCCGGCCCGACCCGGCCCTCGGGCGGACCACAAGATGTACTGCCTGCAGTGGCTGCTGCCCGTCCTCCTCATCCCCAAACCTCTCAACCCGGCCTTGTGGTTCAACCACTCCATGTTCATGGGCTTCTACCTGCTGAGCTTCCTGCTGGAGAGAAAGCCCTGCACCATCTGTGCGCTGGTCTTCCTGGCGGCCTTGTTCCTCCTCTGCTACAGCTGCTGGGGCAACTGCTTCCTCTACCACTGCGGCGGCTCCCAGCTCCCCGACTCGGTGCACGACCCCAGCATCGTGGGCACTTAGTGGCGCCATGGGGCGGTGGCGGGGGGCGGGGGGGGGGGGGGTGGGTGTGTGTGCGTGTTGGAGGGTGAAGAACAGCCTCTGGGAATCCCGAGGGCAGATGTGGTCAACTCGCCTGCGATCGTCCTTTCTTTCTCCCTTCTTTCCTCCCTCCCTCCCTCTCCCTCTCTCTCTCTCTCTCTTGTCCCCTTCTTTCCTTTCCCTCCCCTCCCACCTGTCCTGTCTCTCAGTTCTCCCACCCATCCCTCTCTCCTCCTCCTCCTCCATTTGCCAAAGTAATTATTATTCCCCTCCCCCCCCCACCCCTTTTTATCCCCTTTCTAGCTCCCCGCCCGCACCCCTAAGTGTTGTTTTTCTTCAGTTGAGTTGGGACGCCGAAGATCTCTGTTGACTGTTACGGGTTCCCTCTTCTTCTCTCCCACCGCCACCGTTAAACGGCAAGCCGAAGCCAAGACTTTGGGGATAGGGATTTCACCTGCGAGAGCACCCTCCCTACACCACCCCTCCCCCCATCTTCCTGCTTCTGTCGCGGAGGATAACATGCAGATGCGGATCAAGAATTGCATGGATGTGTATTTAGAGGCCGTGCGTGCTATGTGTGGCTGCAGGAACTCAAGTCAATGTTCCATCGTCTTTCTAAGCCCACAACCCCTCTCCTGCCCCGGAAGTGGCCTTCAACAATCCCTGTGTGTAATGGAAGCGCTTGGTATTTGATGATTTTCGAAAAATTTAGTTGTAAATAATGAACCTCTGAAACAGAGAGACCTATTGTTTATCAGATGTCTCCTCAAGTTCTGAAGAATCACATAGAGATATGTAATATGCCTAAATAATGTGTACGACTTCATTCATCAGGAGGTCTTCGTGTTTATGGTGGTTAACTTTAGAGACGTCGTGACCCATGTACCTTTTTGGGTGTTCAGTTTTTTTTCCTGGTCTTTCGTTGAGAAAGATGCTATTTTTGCACAATTTCATTCGCTGAAATAGTATCGCTTATGTATTGGAAATGCAGGGATTTTAGTGTAGGTTGTGATGAATATGCAAATGTTCACAGTTTACATATCCAATTTTTTTTTGCATGGTGGGTTTGGGATTTGATAAAAGTATTGATCACATGATCTTATAAATACTGTTGGTAATACAGCTAGTTAGTGAACATCTTCATGATTCTCACTTTCTCCACTGCTGGAATAAAGCCCATTCTTTGCCCTGTTATTTATTCACTGCAGGCCAAAAACAAATGGCAGGATAGTGTTTTTTTAGTGTTCTATGATATTTTCCACTTCAATTTTCATTGATCAAGTTTGGACCCACCAGTGCACTTCCATCTGCGTCTGTGATGTGCAAGCGTGTTGCATGATGCAGTCTTATAAGCACCAAATGTTTTTAAAAGTGAGCTTCAGAAAATAAAACGGGTTTACAGCATTATTTAAATTGTTTTATTTGGTTTCTGATTTCCAAAAAATGGTTTGTGTGAAAGTACTTCAGGTTTTGCTGTACCGTAATGGCACTACAATGCGTTCTATTCTGTCCTCCTGTAAATGGAATATGGTAGCCAGTGTTGTAATCATAAGGGAACCAGTTTGTTTGTCTTTCCCAACTACTTTTAAAGCCAATAAGCAACATTTTTTCAAAAAGTGTAATTTTTCAAGAAGTGATCAATTAAACTAAGATCAAAATTTTGCATCTGTGACGAGAAGTTTCAATGGACAGTTATCTGCATCTCTCAATCGTATGGCACACTGTATTGGTTGTTTTGTTAGAATGACCCAAGTTGAAGATCATTCAGATATTTGTTAACTCAAAAGTTTGGGGTGCAGAATTCAAGCGATTGAATTGTGGCTTGGGACGTCTTCTTGACGTGAAAGGCTCTATATAAATGCAATTTGTTGTTATTGTTCTTGATTGAAATTCAGTCCATTTCACACTATCCGTCAGTGATTTTGGAAACTGATGGGTTTTCTTCAAAGGTTGCATTGTTACTAACCGGCCTTGGCAATATAAACATGCTGCGATACTCCTGTTCAGCCAAGAAGAACATTACAGCAGTGGATTGTACTGCACGTTACCATTTGTTGCACATGACCATTCCCACCTGGGAATTCAGCCCTGAATTGATTTTCCTGAAAAAAATGTTGAAGCACCTGATAGAACAGCCAAGGCCGATAGGAAATAATCAGTGTGTTTCAATTCTAAGAGCCAGCCAGTGTGTGTGCAGTATTTTTCTACCCAATGTTTTTCCGGTGGTGATTTATATTTTAATCCAATTGCAGAAGGACTGCAGTAAAGTACATTCTTGGTTGATGGAGTTTTTTTTCAGATCTGGACCGTGACTGAACTCAGTAACAGTGGATATTCGTTTTCACAGTAATAACTAGGGGCTGATTACTCAAAATATTGGGGTGCACATTTCAATGAATTGAATTGCGCCTTGGGATGTCTTCCTGACGTGAAAGGCGCTATATAAATGCAATTTGTGTGTAATGACAACCTGGAAAGCCCATAGAGAGGAATTGATTGAGAGGTTTAGGAAAGAGATGAATAGATGTTTGGGGAGTAGAATTATGAAGTAATATGCCTTCGCAAGGACGTGGGATTAGGAGGACGTATGTAGTGCTGTGCAATGGTCTGTGGTAGATTGGCCTTCATAGGCCAAATGGCCGCCTGCTCCTAAATTCCTATAACCCCCAGACAAAACCATTCATTCACTTGATGGCTGTTTTTATGGGTCATTACCCTGTACAAAATTGACTTCATATTCACCTTCAAAACGTATAGACACTACACTCGAAGGCATGACAAGATGCCATATCAAATATAAAGAGTTACATACTAACAATCCTTGCATTTGATATAGCACCTTATCACATCATTGAGATGTCTCAAAGTGCTTAACAGAATATCCAGTAAAGTGAATTGAGTGTATATTTGTTATATATGTAAATCCCCTTGTTTTTGTTTTATTTTGCTTTATTTTTATGTTTCATTTCTGTTTTATAATTTCTCTTATGTTTTCTTTTTGTGAATATTTTTTGTATGTCATTCTCCCTTGTTATTTTGTTCATTAACTATCTCTTCTACATTACCTGTGTGATGTCGACACTAGATCTTGCTGTGATGTTTTTGCTTCGGTCTGGCTCAGGGACTCCCAATGAGAACCTCGGATCTTATTGCAGCGGTGCAGTTTGCTGTTTATCCAGTGACATGAAATCTTCCCTGTAGTGTTTCTGGCCTGTTGCATTTTATTACAACTACTATAGTGATAAGTTCTTATCCACTGCCATTCAGAACATAGGCAAGTGACATGCTCCCAGCATTTGCAGGAGGATCTCACTGCTACTCAATGAGGTCAGAGTGTGAATATGATGTAAAAAGAATGGTTGTCTTCTGCTTAAAATGGCAAGTTAATGTATTTTATTTTATTTATGCATAGCTTCCTGTGGGCTTTTATAGTTGCTTCTATTCCATGTCCTTTTCTATTTACTATTCAGGTGGCGGAGTTTGGTATCTTGCACGTTCAGTTTCCTTACAGAATCAGTGACTGATGAATATATTTGCATAGTTTGTTGCTTTCAAGTGCAAGAGCTTGCTTCAAATGGATTCCAGGCTAATAATAATCCTTGCATTTGATATAACGCCTTATCACGTCATTGAGACGTCTCAAAGGATGATGGGATCTGTTGATCAGGCCATTGCAGAATAGGAAACTGAGCCATACAAAGTCAGAAAGAATAAGGTTCGATTTCATTTCAGTAGGGACACTATTTGGCCTCATAATCCCCCTGGGTTAGAGGGAGAAAAATCAGCCAAAGTTTCCTGCTCCTGATTGCCACACTGTTGAAAAGCATGCTCACAGGATTAGTTGGAAATGTGATATCCTTAAAAGCCAAATAGCTAAGTAGAACACTTGGGTCTATATTTACTCTGTTAAACATACCATTTTCAGTGGGTGCAGAACTTGACAAATTGTGGGGTTCAATTTTTACTTTGAAATCAATCATTCAGTTGTTAAAAGGAAACTTGAGGAAAAACGGCTTCATACTTGAAGACTGCGTTTAAGAATCTTGACAAATTCTGGATCCTCTGAAACACTACAACAACATTACATTTATAGAGCGCCTTTCATGTCGGGAGGATGTGCTCTGGGCAGTCGAGGCAGGACCCGAGCATGGGGGAGGGGTGGGGTAGGGGTGAGGGAAGGCAGAGAGGTGGGAGGGCGACCGAAGGCACGATCGAAGAGGGTCTTGAGACTGGCCTTGAAAGAGGCAAGGGAGGAAGCGATGTGAAGGGACTGTGGGTTGAAGTTCCAGGGTGTGGGGGCAGAGAGTCTGAAAGCTCGGCCACCGATGGAAGGGTGGGTCGGGCGGTAGACATGGAGCAGACCCTAGCCCACTGAACGGAGCGAGCGGGCAGGTTGATAGGGAGTCAGCAGGTCAGATGGGGCAAGGCCATCCTTGAAAGTGAGGACGGGGATCTTGAATTCGATCCTCTGAGGGATGGGGAGCCAGTGGAGTTGGGCGAGGGTGGGAGTGATGGGGTCATGTTGCATTAATAGAATGAATCTGGACCCAAATGGAATTTCTCCCCAAGTGTGAGTTATTGTGGAACTACTCAGCATGAATCACTAGTGTCCTGCCAAAATTATTAGCATTCTCAGAAAAATATTCTTAGACGCTCAAAGCATCTTTCTGCTCAGTGCATGTTTCCTTTTGAACATCAAGGAACCAAAGTGACAAGGACACTTGTATGTGCTACCTGCACTCTCCTTTCCTGCTCGCCCGTTTGGGTAACCCAAAGAACCTCGGTTGGGGTTGAGTTTCTGTCAACTATGATACATCGCTGATCTTCCACACTGACATTGTTATAATTTACTTATCTGTGCACCTGTTTTGTGTGTACTTTGTTCTTTTGAATGTGACATGGTTTCGAGAAGAAGATAGCATCATGTGGGCGGGTGGCTTGCAGGCATTTTGATCGGAATACACTTGTTGATGGGGTTCAAGCCAAGGCTGTAACACAACTAATTATAGGCCTGAAATTTCAAACAGTAAGAGACCATTTTGTTTTAAAATCGAACAGATTGCACAAAATTCTTCATTCATAAGTCTAGCCAACAATCCTCCGAATAAAATTGATCACTCACTTCATGGTTGGGACATTACTGTGCACAAT